TCCCGCCATCGAGCCGCTCCCAGGCGCGGGCCAGGTGCTTCTCGAGCCAGACATCCAGGTCCGAGGAGGGAGGAGGGAGGAAGGATAATGGAGGAGGAAGGGAAGAGGGAGGAGGGAGGAGGAGGGAGGAGGAGGAGTGAGGAGGAGGAGAGGAGAGGAGGAGGAGGCGAGGAGGAGGAGGAGGAGGAGGAGGAGGAGGAGGAGGAGGAAGAAGAGGAGGAGGAGGAGGAAGGAGGAGGAGGAGGGAGGAGAGGAGGATGAGGAGGAGGAGGAGGAGGAGGAGGAGGAGGAGGAGGAGGAGGAGGAGGAGGAGGAGGAGGAGGAGGAGGAGGAGGAGGAGGGGAGGAGGGGGGAGGGGGGAGGGGGAGGGGAGGAGCAGGAGGAGGAGGAGGAGGAGGAGGAGGAGGAGGAGGAGAGAGGAGGAGGAGGAGGAGGAGGAGGAGGAGGAGGAGGAGGAGGAGGAGGAGGAGGAGGAGGAGGAGGAGGAGGAGGAGGAGGAGGAGGAGGAGGACGAGGAGGAGAGGGTCGCCGCCAGCCCCAGGCGCCGCCACCGCGGCTGCCATCGCCGTCGCTGCCGGCGCCTCCGCCACGAAGGGAGCGGGCGCCGCGCCAACCGCCGCCGAGCCCCCGGGCCTGCTGCCGTCGGCCGACACGTCATCCATGCCGCCGTCGTCGCCGCCAGCCTCCGCGGCAGGCACGGGCCGAACGCCCGCGCGCACCCTTCGCTCCAGCTGCCAGGCCTCCCGCCGTGCGCCGCGCCCCCGCAAGACGCCGGCGCCGCCGCCGCCGCCGCTCCGCCTTCGCCGCCGCGGCGACGGAGGGGGCGCAGCCTGCGGCCTCTCTCCCTCTCCTCCGGCGCCAGCCTGCTCCCCCAGCATCGGCGGTGGACAAGCCTCCCTTTAGCAAACCTCCCCTTCGTGAAAACGGCCTGGGACCGGAACCGACGGACCTGGACCCGCAACGATGACGGCCGCGACGCCCTCTCGCGGACCGAGGACGGCCAATTCCTTACTCGACGTGTCAGGGTAGGAGGTCTGTCCGCCCCCGACAGCAGCGGCGGGCGCGGCGACAGCGGCCGCAGCAGCCGCGAGAGCGGCAGCGGCCACGGCCGACCTCGCTGCCGCCGCGGTGGTGCGGCGCGGCGCTTTTCGAGAGCACTGCGGCGCGGACGGCCGCCTCCACCGGGGCGCCGTCGGCGGCCGCGAGGGCTCCTCGCACGGCTCTCGCGCGGCGGATCTCCCAAGGAACGGCCGCGGCTCTGGGCGTGTGCGATCGCCTGAGCGAAATGACGTTCTTGAGCCAATGGCTTGAGCCAATGGCTACGTTTTTTTTTGCTTTGCTTTCTCTCTCTCTCTCTCTCTCTCTGTCTCCCTCTCTCTCCCACTCTCTGTATGCCTGCCTGCCTGCCTGCCTGCCTGTCTGTCTGTCTCTGCCTCACTGCTGCACCTTCTCCTCTCTGCACGTCTCCTCCGCATCCTCGCTGTCCTCGGCCTCCCTGTCCTTGTGCTGTTGCTTCTGCTGCTCCTCCTCCTCCTCCTCCTCCTCCTCCTCCTCTCCTCGGCTCGGCTTTGTTTCCCCCAGACTTCTCCCTCTTCTGCTGCTGTTGCTCCTCCTCCTCCTCCTCCTCGTCGTCCTCCCCCTCCTCCTCGTCCTTCTCCTTCTTTCTTTTTACTCTTCCCCTCTTCCTTCAAGCTGTTCTCCTCATTCTTCTTATTCTTCTGATTTGCCCTCCTTCTCCTCCTTCTACTTCCCCTCCCCCTGCCTCCTCCGCCCCTCCTTCCCCCCCTTCTCTTTCACCATCTGTCCTCCCCTCCCCTCTCTTCGTCGCCAGTGGTCGGGCAGTGGGGGTCGACGGCTTGCTCTCCCAGGCCTGGCGGCACCTTCCAAGACGCAGCCTCGGCGGGGCGGGCCAAGCGAGATGTTGGCAACAAAGGACTCAGCAGAGGCGGCCCGGTGGTGGCGGTGGTCACTGCATACGGGCACCAAGTCCCGAGCAGAGCAACCCGCACCACGACCACGACGACGCCGACGACAACGACGACGGCGGAGACGAGGCGCGCAGACGATCCGCACCGACGAACGGATTTGGGAACGGGCCCGCCCTGCAGGTTCAGCTGAAAGAGGCGGCCCAAGCAGGGGGATGGGTCGGCTCCTCACCCTCCTACGTGGCGGTGCTCCTCCTCCGCCTCCTCCTCCTCCGCCTCCTCCTCCTCCTCCTCCTCGTGCCCCCCCTTCTTGCTCCCCCTGCTCCTTCTCCCCCTCCTCGTGCTCGTCCTCCTCCTTCGGTGCTTACTCGTCGTCGGTCCATGCTCCCACTCTGCCACCTTGCCAGCCGATGACGGGCCAATCCGGGATCCTCCCCCCATCCCTCTTGTAAGAAGCAGTTGGCAGTCGACAGGCCGGAATGCGTGGTAGGAGTGGGCCGAGGCGCACGTCCAGTGCGAGAAAGGGCGTAAAATCGAGCTCGCCCAGGCGCCGCGCTCATTTCTTTGAGGGTCAAGCTCCTGCTGGGGCGCGTGGCCCATTATTCGCTTGAAAGTGTCGTGCCCGCCGCGGCGCGGCGCATATTTTTCACTCGCCAGGTGTTCTGTTCGGCCCCCGCGCGAGCGGACGACTTGTCGCCCTCGCCAAACTCCGTGCACATTTCGCCTGGAAGTGGTGCTCCCGCGCGGGCGCGGCGTATGTTCCGGTCGCAGAACCGCATGACAACGCCGGGGCCGCGCCAGAGCGGGAGGAATGCTGTCCTCGCAAGAGCGGCGCGCATCTTTGGAGTGAAGGTGGCGGTGCTGTTTTGGCGCGGCGCAAGCTTCACTTGCGCGCGCTGAGGGGCAGATTTGCCTCTCCCGCCTCTGCGCGGCCCGAGAATTTTTTTGTTTTCCCTTGCCGCGTCGGCGGAGGCGGAAGCGCGCGCGCGAGCGCCTTCTGTTCGCTAGGCGGGAACGCCTGCCAATCCCAATGCCGGATTGCAAAAAAAACCCAGGATTGCAAAAAAAACCTGGATCGCAAAAAAAACCAGGGTTTTTTGCAATCCTGTTTTTTTTTTTTGCAATTAAAAGTTTTTTTGCAATCCTTTGCAATCCTTCGTTGTGTCGCAATTGCCCCTCTGTTATGGGACGGGGGGTGGCACCGGGCGGGGCCCGCTGACTCGCTCGGCCTGGTTAGCCTGAACTTGACACGTTCTTCTCCTCCTCGTCCTCCTTCTCGTTCGCGTCCTCCTCGTCCTGCTCCTCGTCCTCGTCCTCGCCCTCGCCCTTGTCGTCGTCCTCCTCATCCTCCGCTTCCCCCTCCTCCTCCTTGTCCAGCTGCCCCCCTGAGATCCGACGCTGCGAACACAACAGCGTGCAACGTCGCACAACATCGCGACCGGGGCGCTAGGGCCCTAGACCTCATCCTTCTGCGCCATTGCTCGGGCCCGATCCACGTGTGGGTGCCCCGGGGCCCGAAACAGGGCGAAAACGCCCAGCGCGACGAGAGAAACTTCCACGCCAGGATTGCAGGGCCCTGCTGGTCCTCGCCCCACTGGAGGCCCCAACCCCCGAGACACACTTTTTTGATTGTGATGTCGACGCCCGGAGGTCTCGACCCAATCCGCGGGACTTGTCTTTCATCCCGAGTCGTTCTTTGACGGCCCCAGGGCCTGGCGAGGGCCCACAGAGGCCGAAGACAACAAGAAACCTTCTGCCGTGATTCTTTCACGATGCGAGGGGGTCTCAAGGCCGTGCACGTCGACAACAAAGCCGAATTCCGACCGAACCGACAACGAAACTGACCGAAATCGACAGGCCGAAGGCAGCCTGGAAATGCGCAGAAACGTGGCAACGACACCACGACCGACCGAACCGACTCGGCCGGACGCAACCGACTGCGACGCGACCGAAGCGATCGAACCGTGAGCACCCCTGGGCCTGGGGATCTCGCCGAGGCTCGAAGCCAGAAGTCATCCGACCCCAGACATGCGATGTCCTGGAGGTCCCGACCCTTTCCCCGAGACTGGTTTTTCATCCCGAATCGTTTTTTGACGGTCCCGCGGCCCGATGAGGGCTCCCAGAGGCAGAAAACGGAGAAAAACCTTCTGTCCTGATTTCTCCAGGGCGCGAGCAGAAATACACACTGCTCGATCACGGCTTGAAACATCGGCTCCCAGGACCCAGGGACATGTGGAGAAATATGGGAAGCAGAAAAAAACAAACATCCGGAAAATATGGAATAAGATTGGACATCCTGAAATTTGTGTCAATTTGTTGGTGTCTGCCTGGTAGGGCTCCCACTGACCTGGGTCAATGCAAACCGGGTTCTGTCGGGCATTGCAGGACCCTGCAAGATCCTGCAGCAAATGCTACGGGATCCTGCGCGCAAGCCCGGGTCAGTGCACCCCTGACCCTGCAAGACACAGAGCTCTGGCCGACCCCCTCAACCGGCTACACGCAAGAGCGACCCTGGGCAAGGGTGAGCGGCTTCTTGGGGTCGCGGTGAGACCAAGCACAGGCGCGCAAGACGCCACCACCGCATCGCGCTCGGCGATCGGAGGACCCCCTTGGGCCCGCACCAAGGGGCCACTCCGGCGAATGGTCACCTTAGGAGGCAGCTACTGGGAGGCTTTCGTCGGAAGGATTCAAAGGAATTAAGCCCCATTGGGGGGCTGTTACGCCGGGATGGGCCTCGGATTAAGCGGGATTGAGCGGGATTCAGCGGGATCAGGCCGGATTTCGGACCAGTGCAAAATCAGAATCTGACCTCCCAGGAGCTGCATCCGAAGTCACCCTTGTTGCGTGTAGTCGACCCGAGGCTCCCGACCTGGGTTAAAACAGGGCTAGGATCGGGATAAATCGCTCCAGAGCGTTCCGGAGCGCTCTCAGAGCGTTCCGGAACGCTCTGGAGCGGCCGCGGCGCCCAATGCATCCTCCAAACCCGCCGACTCTCAGAGATTTCGAGTTCTCCCGATCCGACTTTGACCCGATCTTCGGCGTCGTTTGACGTGTCGTCGACCCGAGGCCCCCGACCTGGGCCCCTTTGAAGCCGTGCCCGGACCTCGGGCTCCATGGCGACCACGGCCCAGGGCCGCCGCATGTCCCGGAGGCCCAGGGCCCGGCCGCACGGCACGCCCTCCCGGGCCAGGGCCTCCAGCCTCGGGGCGGGCGCTGGCTCCTCCCTCGCCCTCGTGCTCGTCCTCTGCCCTCCTCCCTGCTCCCTCCTCTCCCTCCCCTCCTCCCTCCCCCCCTCCTCCCTCTCCCTTCTCCCATCTTCTCCCCCCTCCCCTCCCTCCTCCCTCCCCTCCTCGCTGGTGGCGTGTGGTCGTGGTCGTGGTCGTGGTCGTCTGGTCGTGGTCGTGGTCGTCGTCCTCTTCCTCCTTCTCCTCCTCCTCCTCCTCCTCCTCCTCCTCCTCCTCGCCCTCGTCCTCGTCCTCCTCTTCCTCCTCCTCCTCCTCCTCCTCCTCCTTCTGTTCCCCCTCCTGCCTTTCCTGCTCATCCATCCTCCTCCCCCTCCTTCATTTCTTTTCCTTATGAATCATGTTTCCCTGTCGCATCCCGAAGCCAGCTTTTAGGGTGGGTTGGGCGTTTTGCCTGAGAGTTCCTCGCCACTGATGGCCCTTAAGCTCAAAAATGGGCAACAGTTTAGCAGATGGAGGGCGGGTGGTTTTCAGAAGGTGGCTCTCGCCTTAGCGCCGCGCACATTCGTTTTAAACATTTGCACGGGTTTCACGGATTGAGGGCGACCCGTTTTCAAAAGGTGGCTCTCGCCTTACCGCCGCGTGAATTCGCTTTAAACATTTGCAGGAGATTCACGGATTGCGGGCGGTTCCTTTTCAAAATGTGTCTCTCGCCTTAGCACCGCGCACATTCGTCATTCAAGATTTGCAAGGGTTTCACGGATCCCCATGATTAGCGTACCAGAAATGGTGTTTTGGAAGGAATCAGGATTATACAGAGTGCAACAGTTACGTTGATTCGCGGCGTTGAAGTCCCAAGAATAACGTTCTGTCACGATGCAGGCTCGTCAAGACGCAACAGTCAGGTTGATCCGTAGCGTTGGAATCCCAAACAAATATATTGGCATGCTTCAGGGTCTTCAGACGGTTGTTTTCCAACGAGGCAGTTCCCTCAGTGGACATGAACAGCTGTAGGGGCCCATGAAGAGGGAGCTTGGAGGGAGGGTTTATTCCAACATCGTTGATGACTATTAGGTTTACACTGGTCCTCCTCTTCCTCGTCGTCGTCCTCCTCCTCCTCCTCCTCCATCTTTGTCCTCCTCCTCCTCCTCCTCCTCCCAAGCGTCACCGTCGTCGGCCCCATACCGATCCTGGCCTGGCCAATGCTGGGCCCACGACCAGTGAATGCTGCGACGCCCCTGGCGCGGCCAGGGCAGCGCATCCACCGAATTTGGGCCCGGCATCTGGCCTGGTCGGGCTCGGCCTACGTGTGGTGGACAGTTGGCGGCACCCCCGAAGCCTGGGCAGCGCCTCGGGCTGGAAGCTCCGCTTCAGCGTCTCGGCCGCCTCGGTGGAGCAGCACCCACTCGCCAGACCCATCAGATCTGACTTTTGAAAACAATTCAACACCGCAGAAAATCACCACCGGAGCCCCGAACCCCGCCTTTCTGCATCATTTTTCGAGCTGGATCGATCTGTGAGTGTCCCAGGCCCGACATCGGGGGAAAGCGGGCGTTGTGAAAACATTGCAAGGCCCAGGTCTGTGGGACCTCCAGGCCTTCAAACATCACGGCGCGCTTTTTCTCTTCGATCTTGGCCCCCAGGGGTTGTCTTCGGGTTCCAAGGCCGTCGAATAGCTGGCCGCGACGGAAACCTCGACCTCGGCCTCCAGGGGCGATTTTTCGGGCTCCCCAGTCGTCGACCAGTTGGCCACGACGGAGAGCTGGTCGCGGGGACGCGGTCGAGAGCTCTGAGGGGGGCATTTTCGGGCTCCCCAGTCGTCGACCAGTTGGCCACGACGGAGAGCTGGTCGCGGGGACGCGGTCGAGAGCTCTGAGGGGGGCATCACGGGAACGTTTGCGACCTTGGGTCGATGGTGCAGTGGTGCGGTGACACCTCGACCTTGAGAGTGGCCTGGCACCGAATAACCTCCGGCGCACTCCTGTTGCTCTGCAGCTCGTACCCCGATCGCTGCGATGGGCAACCGTCCTGCTTGTACCGCCAGCATCTTCAGAACTCTAA